CTAATTGTCATTGATGTTGAGAAGCTCCTTTCTACTATCACCACCAAAGATGAATTAGTTATCACCAACTTAAAGACGTTGCTTCTTGGGCCATGTCTAGATGTTGGAAAGTTTGTCATGGTGCAAGACATATACATCGTTGTTGTAGAGAGATTCATAGATAAAGCTACATAGGACAATAAATTTAAGGAGTTCAAAAAACATTAAGCAACAAGAGCTTGGAGTAGAATAAGCAAATAATAGAGATTGAATAGACCCTCATCAATCAAAACCTTTCATATTTTATTTATTTTATTTTTATTTTTATTTTATTTTTTTCTCCTTCTATTTCTTCTTTTTATGTTCTATAATTACATACTTGCTCATCTCAAGGCTTTGGATTCCACTTTGATTTTGATGGAGTAATAGATATCCGACTTGTACAATCATCACCAATAATAATCATATTAACTCTTTGTCATGCCATCAAAGTATTGTTATAATAGGACCTCTTATCTAAGAAGAAAGTAAGGAAGGATGGAATCAAGTCTTGCATTAGGGCAAGAAAGAGACAGATAGGAGCTAAAACTAGTGCCATGATAAAAATAAAAAGATCTAAATGAGCTAATCAAAAGCCTTGGATGTATATATTAAATAATGGGTGTGAATATAACAACTTAGGATGTACTTGTATCTTATAAATATATATATATATATATATTAGATTTATTTTAGATATTTAAATATTTTAATTTTTATATATATATATATATATTAGATTTATTTTAGATATTTAAATATTTTAATTTATATATATATATATATATATATATATCTTAAGTTGTTATATGTACATCTATTATGTCTATATACATATCTAAGACTTTTGATTGGTTCATCTAGATTCTTTTATCTTAACCTTGTGCAGATTCCAATCTCCCTTCTTTTCTTCATTTTTTCTATATAAGTCTTAGCTCTCTTTCTTTCTTCAATGCAAGTCTTAATTCTTGTCCTTCTTTTGCTTGCCTTAATGTAGGTCTTTGTCCCCTCTATCTTTTTATTGCTCTAGTGCAAGTTTTGGTCCCTTCTTCCCTCTCTTCCTTGTTAAAGACTAGGACTTGTACTATTGTCTTATAACATGGCCATTAGATGAAAGAAGAAAGGATATATTATATTATAGAGGAGCTTAAATGAAAATATTTTGAAAAATTATCTTAGAAATATATAAAATAGACAAGGAAGTACTAAAAATTGATAAGTATTAATACTACTTGCTTGTAAAAGAGGCTTCTACTTACTTTGTAAGACCATAAATTTAAAATAAAAAATAAAAAAATTAAAGAAATTAAATCATATAGATTTCTTTAAAAAAAAGTTAAGAATAGGTTTTAGTAAAATTTATTCTAAAAAACCAAGAATTGATACCCAAAGAAGACTTGTTGTGAATCAAGATCAAAATCAAATCTTGAGGTACAAAATAACACATCTATGGCAATTTAAGGATTCTTTGGTTATTTAAAGAGTGGTATTTGAGAGTAAATTGGTGAGAGATTTTTTTGGGGGTTGGTTTTATGTGATATGGAGACATAGTGAGTTATTGAGGGCTTTCCAAATTAAAAGATGTATTCAATGGTTTTGGACTTTGAGTATTTATAGGTGAAAGTGTAGAAGTTTTTTATTATGATTGTCTTCAATATATTAGAATAAATTAATATCAATCAAAAAATTAGATTGAAGGATATGAGAGTTTTATTGGATCAAGTTCTCAAAAATTTGAAATTTATGATTACTAAGGATTTTTACAATCTTGAAAAATCTACCAGTTTGATTGATAAGAAAATTAGAAAGAAAAGTCTAGATATAAAAATTTATACATTAGCCAATTTTTAAAGAAATTTAACTATTTAATAAGAAAAAATTGTTGCTAAAAGATCAACATGTAGGTTAGAGAAGAAAGGTGGCTAAAATCTAAGAAATTTAGGAGCTATTTCTTTTTATTAATGTATTAATTTATTTCAAATTTTATATGCTTGTTAATAAAGATGTTAATTTTGTTTAGGATTTGGTTAGAATTTTACTAGAATTTGATTACTGTTGGTTTAGAATTTTATTAGAATTTGGTTAAGATTTGGTTAGAGTTGATTTAGGATTTAATTAGAATTTAAGGTTTGATTAGAATTTAATTAGAATCGGTTTAGGATTTCATTAAAAAAAATTTAAGATTACATTAGGATTTATATAGGATTTATTTAAGGTTTTTATTTTTAATATTTTAAAAATATTTTTTAAGATTAATTTATAATTTTTTTATATTTCTTTAGTAATTTCTTTAAGACTTCTTTTGGATTTGATTAAAGATGGATTAGAATTTGGTTAGAATTCTATTAGAGTTGTTAGGACTTTCTTGTTGTAAATTCTATTTTATCTTGTAAAGTCAAGTGCCCAATTCATTCTCAAGCACACTTCACAATATATGACAGTGCTTAGACAAAGAAGAGAAGAAAGGAGATTTGGACCAATGTCAAGAAAAGCAAGAGAAGTGGGACTTGTGCCAAGGCAAGAGAGAGAAAGAAAGGGATAGAGACTTGCACTAGGATAAAGAAAAAAAAAAAAAAAAAAAAAAAATCTAGATAAGCCAATCAAAAATATTGGGTGTATGTATAGATATGATGGATGTAAATATAACAACTTGGGATGTGCTTGTAGCTTGAGCCATATCTATCTATCTATATATATATATATATATATATATAGATGGTATTGCTAATGCAACCACAATTTTTAGTATGACAATCACAATTTTTATTACTACTACCACAACTTGCCATCTATTCAATACATTTCTTTAGTTTTATTTATTATAATAAAATAATTATCATAAATTATAGTATTTTTTTTTATGTATGTATATATATATATACACAGTGTTTTTTTATTTTAGTGAAAAATATTGAAATTTTCAATAATTTTTTTTCATGGTAATATTAAAAACAATGTTGGCATTAGGAACAACTTATATATATATATATATATATATATATATTAAAGACATTAAAATTTGGCATTAGGAACAACTCATAATTTTACCATTATGTGCTTTTGAAGAAATTAGAGAAAGGATTTAAGTTGATGAAACCAAAGATGAGATCTTTCCATAGATGGCATGTTTTTGAATTGTTTGGATGGTTGTACTTGCATGGGAGCAACTTTTAGAATTAATTTTAAATAAAAGGCATTGACATGGTAGAGTACTTGTCTTGCCAATTTTACAGCAAAAATGAGTGGCATTGAAATTTTTTTCCATTAAAATATGGAGGCATTATACATGGTATATAGTAAAAAGTTGACATTGTCAAGGATAATCAGACCATGGAATAAGGTTGTACTATACATCTAGTCTGGAACAAGTGAGGTGGTAGTATTAAAATTTGTAGCGTAATTTTTAGCTTGTTCTCATCATTTTCTGCCCGTCTTATTTATTGGATAATAATATTAAAAGATGTATGCATGTGAATTGTGTAAGGGCATGTAAAATTACTTGGTAATAATAAATGAAATTAAATCTATTATTGATACTTTTGCAGAAATAAGTTTATTTTTTGAATTTAAAAATAAAGAGAAAATTATGTTATTATCATTTCTGTAATTGTATGAATTAGGAATATATATAATTATAAAAATATATATAATTATAAAATATATATATATATATATATATATATATATAATGAGATAAATTAAACTCTTTGATAATATATGAGTTGATAGTGCATATATTTATAGTATGGTAATAACATATAATCATTCTTTTAGCCTATACTTATATATATATATATATATATATATATATTTATTGAAAAAATTAAAATAAAAATGTTAATAAAATTCTACTGTTTGTAAATAAATATAAATAAGTAAATTATACAGTGTAAAAATTTGTCAAAATTATAGAAATGTTTTGTTATTGTCATCACAAATCACCATCATGCAACAGGTCAAGAATGATTTTAACATAATGGTATACTACTGCTGGAAATTACTAAGCTATGTTTAAAATAACTTTCGTGTGTTAGTGTTGTTGTCATAAAAGCTCTTTTTCTCCTGTTTCTCTGATTTCAGCAGTTTCACGTATTTTGTAATTCCATACTAAATACAACTTATTTCGTGACGTTTAATAACATTCAGTTTCCCGAGTTTAGGATTTTTGATTTATTACTATCTGTAAACACACTTTTGTTTGTAACATTGTCTTGTTCATTGGTCCAAGGGGTTTGATGCCCAATCCCAAGGCAGGGACCGTTACCACTGACGTCACTAGTGTACGTACCTGAATTCCTTGAACTTCTCTGAACACGTATGTAAGTTGTTTTGCTGTGAATATTGCTGAGATTAGCGATTGATTTTCCTTCTTTAATTTTTTTAAAAAAACTAAGTCATTAATCTGTTATTATATGTATTTCCTTGCGATTTACTAGGTTGGACTGACCACTCCTTATAGACAGTATATGTACCTGATGTTTTTCACGAGCTGAACAAGGATGTGAACGCACACACAGCACTAACAAGCACTTGTAAACCTCTTGCAGGCCATCGGAGAATTCAAGGCGGGTAAAGTGGAGTACCGAGCGGACAAGACCGGTATCGTCCATGTGCGGTTCGGCAAATCCGATTTCTCGGCAGATGATCTTCTGGAGAATCTAATCGCCGTTGTGGTACAGTTCGCTGACTAAAACCACCTCTTGCATTTTTTGAGATGGGTTTTCTTTTTTCTCTTCATGTGTCATTGATTTATGACGATGTTGATTTGTATCTATTGTTCAAGCTACTGCATGTATGTGAACAGACAAACTTGCTCCAACCCAAAGAAATAGAAAAATTCCAGCTGATAGGTGACGAATTATCATCCAATTAAAATGCTCACTTTATTGAAAGATTGAGTAAAAATGTTCGTGTAAACAGCCATAAAGTGGTTTAAACAGCCTTCAAAATTATGCTTTTCTCCTACGCATTTGCGAAGATCCTTGTGATCAAGAATAGCCTTGTTTGGTATTGATCATTTGATACTAGACATGGATTGAGGCCGAGTAAAGCTGAGAAAGGGATCCACAACGTCAATTTCTATGAAACACATAGAGAAATCGTCTACGTTTAATGACAACCAACAGGCCCGAACTCATAGACACGGCTGCGGTTTTTATTGACCGAATAACCTCGAGAACCACCAGCCACCTCGTGCTGATGATCCGTGGTTGTTTCCTTCTCTCTGGACTTCAAAAATAGATGCAAAATAATGAAAGACCATGGCGAAGGTAAAGTTAGAGCTGTAGCAGCTGTAGAAATTAGTACCCTAGGTTGTACTCCAAACAGGGCGTCAAAGCTAGTGCCTACTCAAGGCGCACCATGAGACTGAAGCCAGATGTTTCATATGTTACACTCAATTAGTTATCCGCCTACCTTTTACCGAAGATTCGAATTAAATCATCCATGTTTGGAGGTTTGAGATACGTGGGTTTAGCTCGGGGCTCATTATCTGGCTTTCTTTCAGATTCCTTCGGAGTAGCCACTGCTGGCGGGTTCGACCCTTGCGCAGAACCAGTAGATTTGTGTGATGGCACACGCCCATTATTAGAATGAGATGATTCTCCATGCCTTCCAAGCTTTGCCTGTGGACCTGGTTTGTCTCTTCCCGGTGAAGTATTTTTGGTGGAGCGAAGTTCGTCATCATCAGAACTGGAAAAGTCATCAGACTCAAGGTACTGCTTAGACCTATCTACATATGAGTTCTGCTGTCGGGAACCCCGACTCTTGTCTGAACGATCCTCGTCTGGCCTAACTGCCACTAGTCGCCCAGATGAGCTCCCGGTGCGTGGAAGGACATCAAATTCATCACGATGTCGGGTTGCTGAGTATTTGTCGCGCTCCACACTTTCCATCGGAAAACTCTGCCGCTTATCCAACTCCACACCCTCCTTCCCCTGGCGCACTGGACGGGGACCCATCTGGTCGTCTGCAGCTCGTCCGTTTCTGTCTCTCTCCTTCCTATCTCGCATTGACGTAGGGTCCCTACTGTTCCTTGGAACTTCAGAATATCCTAAGTCATCTCCAACCTGTCCTTTCCCACGATAGTCATCATAATCAGAACGGGGAAAAGAATTTTTCTTTTTATGTGCATATCTTGATCCTTTGGCGATCCTTCGGTTACGATCACGATCATCCACTTCATCTCCAGACTCTGAAGACCTATACTCCGTATTAAGAACAGGTTTTCGAGGGCTGTCGAATCTTGCTTCGGACTTTCCAACACTACCTTCCGAACCATGCACTGAATGAGCTTTCTGCGACGTACCAACAGGTTTCCTATTTGGAGAATCACGAGGGCTGTCGAATCTTGCTTCAGACTTTCCAACACTACCAACTCTCCGGTCATTACCTTCCGAACCATGCACTGAATGAGCTTTCTGAGATGCACCAACAGGTTTCCTATTTGGAGAATCACGAGGGCTGTCGAATCTTGCTTCAGACTTTCCAACACTACCAACTCTCCGGTCATTACCTTCCGAACCATGCACTGAATGAGCTTTCTGAGATGCACCAACAGGTTTCCTATTTGGAGAATCACGAGGGCTGTCGAATCTTGCCTCGGACTTTCCAACAATACCAACTCTCCGGTCGCTGCCTTCCGAACCATGCACTGAATGAGCTTTCTGCGATGTACCAACAGGTTTGCTATTTGGAGAATCACGTCCTGATCCCTCATGCTTATCTGCAGGTTTTTTAAGGCTTCCGTCGGGACCAGATGTAGTCTTGATATTGGTTACCCAATCATCCTCATGAGAAATACGATCTGACCAATGGGTTGCTTTACTTCTATTTACACCTTTTCCTTCAGCACCCAAATTCTCCGTGTGATCATTTTCCTTCTGTTCGTACAAAGAACTCTCACCTCCGACATATTTCGCCGAACCAGTCTGATCCCAAGAACTATTTTTCCCAATCATACCACCAGAGTGACGCCTTGAGGTATCCACAAATTGATGCACTGAGGAAGCAGGAAAAATATCCGATTCTCGCCTTGAATTCCAGCTGGATTGACCTTCCATTTTCCTTGAGTTCGAATCGACGCGAATGTCATCGCTGAACGAATCCTCTGACCCCGCTTGCATTCTCCCAGGAGGATTAGCAAGAGGAGCTTCTCTGCCTGGAGCACCACTACCCATTGAACTTGGTCTCGCTTGTGTTCTCCCAGGAGGATTAGCAAGAGGAGCTTCTCTGCTAGGGTCACTACTGCTCAAAGAACTTGTCCGACGCTCCTCTGAGCTTGCATGCATTCCTCCGGCAGGATTACCAGGAGGAGCTTCTCTGCTTGGGTCACCACTGGCTACTGAAACTGTCCGAACACTACTGCCCGTTGAACCTGGTCTCGCTTGCATTTTCCCAGGAGGATTAGGAAGCAGAGCTTCTTTGCTCGGGACCCTGCTGTACACTAAACCTGTCCGACGCTCCTCTGAGCTCGCCTGCATTCCTTCGCGAGGATTAACAGGAGGAGGTTCTCTACTCTGGACACTACTGCCCACTGAACCTGCTCGAAGATCCTCTTGCTTCGATTTTATTCGACCAGAAGAATCAGGAAGAGGAGCTTCTCCGTTAAGGCCACCACTGCCCACTGAACTTGATTGAAGATCCTCGATTGGGCCTGCCGACATGGTCGCCGGTGCCACCAGACCAGGAGCTGGATTCCACTCCACATTATGGTCAGATGCTATTTCTTTCATTACCTTGAACTTTGCTGCTTCTGTCACAGGATTCACTAATAGCTTCTCAACGACCTGCAAACCCATCATGGTATCAGTAAAACTACGATATGGTATAAATGCAAAATAAAACTCGACGCACTCCAGAAGCAGCATCGATCTACTCACAGCCAATGAGGGGACCACCGTTACAAACTTAAACGAACATAAGTTACCGCCATTTAACTATCGATAAGAAAACAAACCAAATGCAGTCATAAGAAATTTGCAAATTCCGTTATGAGCGATGCGTATTACTACAACTTCAGCATGTGAATTAATTCACCTTCACATCCACCCCGCACCCTTGGCGCAATTCAATTGCGGTTGTTACAAACTCTTCACCATATTTATCTACAAACATAGGATGGAGCTGGGAAAAATCCACTAGCTCAGTGCGCTTAGAGGATGCATATAGTAAGGTTGATATGTCACCCTTAATGCCTGAAGGGCAGGTCCTGTAAGCACACCCGAATCACCAAACAAATGAACAATTTGAATTGCTACTCTGGTTAATCCAAATAAGTAGAAGAGGGACATGTCGTGCTTGAGGAACACTTATGCTGGTCAAGAAAAGACTCACACAAAACGAACATGGAGCCTGGTTGAATGGCAGGGAACTTACTCCTGAGAATCGATGCTCGACATTTGACTCGATATTCGTTCGGCACACGCAGTAAGCAATTCATAAGCTTCAATAAGATTCTTCTCCCTAATGATTTCCTCTACCTGTAACCACCAATTTCAATCATGAGCACCACAGTTGGAGAAACTTCGTAATTCGAAGGCAAGCTTGAAACGGTCGCAGCGTCGGCTAGTGCCCATCTTAGCGGCCACAAACCCATGATTGTTGACATAAAGTAAGAAAAGACGAACCCGTGATCGAGCACTGTCCTCATTACCGGCCTTCAATAAGCCGGCAACTTCTTTCCCAGTATCTGCAATGCAGTCAAGTTTTTTGTTGCAGAATCTCTTCATTCGAGAGGATCCCATTCGAAGTTGAGTTTTGCTGCAATAATACACGGGATCAAAGGAAATGCTGAAGTCAGCCAACAACCAAAGAGCAGTGTTTTAAATGCATCATGGACATGGATTTGCTCAAGTCTTTTACACAGAGACGTAAAATTCTATTGTGCAAATTATGACTCTAATCTTTACCCTGATTCTAAACGGAAACTAATCTGCAATGACCCCATTACAACAGCCTCAGGACTTGAGACGTCTTTAACACAGAGAAATAAATGTAAGCAATTAATAGGTAGATAAATAAATAAATGAATAAACAAATTGTAGATAATGTCTTCAGAGTGCCCTAATACTCGCCCAATCTTACCATTTTGAGGCCTGGAAGCCGCCTCTGCCATGAGAACTCATTTTCGAAAAATCCTCGTTTCCTCCCTCCTCCCAACCACTTCAGGTTCGAAAACAGTCCTCAGAGCAAGTGAAAACCGCGAATTTCTAGGTCTGTGGAAGAAAATCTAGATGAAAGAGAAAAATCACCAGTTCTTTTCAACTGCTCAAATAATTCTCAGTTTTTCAAAAATAAAATCTGATTAGCTTGTTTGCAACAGATGGCCACGCATCTTCAAGTCGGTAACGTCTATCCTGGTAAACTCTAATTGCCTCACTAATAACGTCTATCCTGGTAAACTCACTAATAACCTAAAACAAATACATCAAACCAGCGATCTAATCCACACATAACGCTGTCCCTTCTCGGTCAAATCTGCACATTCCATCAAAACATCTCAAACAACGTTCTCCCACAATATTCACCAACCACCACACAATCTTCATGTCGCACCATCAAGAATTATTACTATACAATCCCTATGTGTTTCACTCCAGGATCCAGGCCCACAACTTCAAATCCCGTTCAACACGACTACTTCTCAGACGCAGACACTTCAACAGAAATCCAGTCAACCCAAACACCGCCCATGGTCACAATCTCACCACACCTACCACTTTCCAACAAGTGTCGCGAAAGTAACGAAACCGCTATCCAACTCACCTGCGTGGATTGTGAGGGAACAAACCTCGCTCTTCCCATTGCTATTCTCTCACAACACTGGTTTGAGCCGCTGCGAGAGGATACTGGAAGCTGAGGAAGACAGGGACAAAAGGAGATTCACTTCTCCCTGCGGTGTCCCCCTACAACCCCCGCCGATTGCTCGCTTTCGAGGTGAACAGCCAAAGGGGGTTTGAAAGCGTTACCAGACGTGTTACCGACTTGCAGCCCAGAATCATGGCATGAACAGCTGTATCGGACGTCACTGGGCAGGGAAATAGACCTCCCCCATCTTTCGCGTCCACCGAGGGCTTTACTATAAAAAGCGCACCTCGCCTCTCTGGCCCACCTACCCCGCGAAGCTCTCACCAGTTCTTCGAAACCGTCGATGGCTGGAATATCGCCCTTCTTCCCATGATGCATAGTGGGAATTTGGTGGATTAAATCGATGGTCTAACTATGTCCCGGCGGCTAAAGTCGTCACTGGGTGATGGGGGCTGCAGAGATTCATACCTGACCCCACAGCCTGCTGAAGCTTGGGAGCCGGTTGTGTTTGTAGCTCACTCGGTTTATGCGGCCTGCAAGCGCGGCGCTCCAAGGTTGGTGGGATTGAGGGGGTTCGACGATCACAGCGGCAACGGGGGAAAAAGGGATTTTCGACAAGCGATCTCACATGAGACATGACTATGTGATATTGATATCAAGGAAGCAGAAGTAATAGAAATTTCGAACAGTGTACCTTGCATGAGACAGAAATCAGCACTACATTCTCGTGAGTTAGGAAGGTGAGAAAACTGACATTTCATGAGGCATGATAAGGAGAAGAAGCATACTATGTTTTGCTTAGATTAGCATACCACACAATGCAGACAAGTGGTATTATTTCCTGAGAGCACGCTGTTTGCAATACATCAATCTGTTTTGAAAGGGCCAATATTCCGGCCATTGTGATATCAGAAGGACCACAATCCCATAGACGAAGATGCAGAAAACTATGGCTGATCTGGATCCATAAGTCGGTTACTTTCTTTCCATTTTCCCTCTAACAACTCCTGCGCATCAGTTATTCTCACATACACACATTCAACCTTCAACCTTTCGGCGACATTCAGCTGATTTCTGTTAATCAGAGAACAATATTTTCTCTACCAAGCAATTATTTCCACACATCCATATTTCACTTGGGTTCTATCAAGTGGTAGGATCCAGGAGATCATATTGCGCCCAAATACATTCAACTGGACATGGTTGATGCATATCGAGTCGCCGCCATGGCTTTCCACCTCCACTCCAGTGTAGCTAACTTGCAGGTTCATTTCGAGTGGGTCTGTTTCACAGAACAGAGGAAGCATCAACACATAGTAAATGTTGTCAAGAAATCCGCCACGTGCGTCTAATGGAAGAGATTATTCAAACACGCAAACCATACGACATAACTTTGAATCCTCTGAGTAAGACGTGAAATTGGTCCAAGAAACAGGAGTGAAGACTGAGACAACAGTTCTATTAAATTGAACATCACAGACCTGCAGTCTCCCTTAACGATGTCGCCCCCCAGGCCATGTTGGTTCCAGCGGTTGTCGATAGCCTGCAAGGATGCACATTGTTAGGTCAGATAGCATTTATTGAGGTTCCTGCATTTGGCGTTTGCAATTTGGTGCCTAACACTGTAGCTTAGAAATTGCTTTCAAAAAAATCGTTCTGCGCATGGTAAAATAATCTTCTGATGAGATTTTGAAGTCTTACAACCCCAACACATTGACTTCCAAACAAATAAAAATTGGTTGTACAATAGACTCATCGAAAGTATGCCGAATTCTTTACAATGAGCGATTAGGATTTGTAGCCATATCTGAGGATTACAAACGTACTGATTACTTCAACTATCAAGGCAATAACAAGGAACTTATAAGGACTACCAGAGTCCAATTTCCTGATAAGGCGATAATCAACCATTGTTGAGTTCACATTACTTTTTGCAACGACTAATTCACAGGACACCAATATCATCGTGCAACATAAATGCCGAAAAAGTACAGAAAACATTAACCTGAATGCTTCCGGCAAAAGTGAGCAAAAGCGGGGGCAAAGAACCAAGCTCGTAAATGTGCTGTTGTTTTTGCACCTGCTCGAGAGCATTCAACCAACAGACCTTGAATCCTCAATTAAGTGTGGCAGCGAACTGGGAGACTTAGAAGCCCTCTAGTAAACTACCAAATGTCACAGAAAAGCTGACGACAAAGTTAAAAGAAGACCAGACCTCCATCCAGTATTCAAGAGTGGATGTGCATCTCGTTTTGCGCCACCTTTCCAGATTAATTAACATCATCTGCAAGATCAGATGCAAAGACATCAGAACAGAGTAAATCGAGCAGTCCACCATCAAATTATAAGGGCAGCCTAGAAAGCTTAATTGTAAATTAAGGGATGGTTTCATACACAGAAAAGACAGTGGAGCAGTGACAGGCCAGAAAGCACAACGTAATTGATCACAAGAAACTCACCCCGGAATTGAAGTAGCAGGGCTGCTTATTCGCAAATGTTGATGCAAGTGAAGAATTTATCCAGAAATTTTCTGTGAAATACTGTTCTGTACACAAAATGAGTATCAGGCTTGCAAAAGTTCTAGACTAGGAATCAAAAAGAGCAGAAAGTGTAGCTCTCACCAGTGCAGCTCTGGCAAACCATTCCTTTCTGTCTAGCACTCTTGAAAACCACAACTTTCCAAAAAAAGCTCACCTAGAAATATATCAATGGCGTGATAGAAAAGATAGATCCTCAACTGCGTGATACAATTAGCATGTTCTCAGTAACCAGAAGAGAACAGAAAGAGGAGTATGGTTAAACTGTTGGGTACTTACAGAAGGAAAGTTTGCATGGCAATACTCTGGCGTGCCCACAGTGGAATTTCCCATGTTGGTCATCCATAGCTCCTCAATTCTGTGCAAGAAGGAACAAAAAATCAGACTACGTCCAAACAGGTATTTAGACTACATGCTACAAAATGCTTGATGTACAAGAGAACACTGACCATAGGGATATGGCAACCAAGGCATTCAAGTATGATTATACAAAATTGCACTTGATCCAAAAGTTCGAAGGTAAACAAGTCTTGCAGGACATCACGAGCTTCATCATGATCGAAGAAACTTAAGGTCGCGGTTTTAACACCTGCCCAAGACAAGCACATCTAAATCGAGGTAGATAATTCTCTTGACACATGAATCAATCATGTGCGCCAAGTAAAACCTTGCGTAATTGAGAGGCTCCTGAGTGATGACGAAATCGGACGAGTAAATAAGTTTAAGCAGTTCACAAGAATAGAAATACATAGCAGACCTGCAAAACGATTTGCATTTGTTCTTCTTATTCACTATCCACTCAAAGCATACTGAATCAGTAAATTGAATTAAGTTAAGCTAGATGGGTATAATTTTTTGATAGAAGCTACTTTCTAGCGTCAGTGTTTAGGTTGCATTGCTCATAAGATTTTGTGCATAATGTATCACGCCACATCAATGCAAAGAAGAAATCGATAAAGCTAACGGAATCGATATCTCCAATGCATGCCTTACAGCATGTGAAATGCGAGATTTCACTAAGGATTCATCAAAGGTATATGTCTGGAACTGCAAGAATGGAAATGCTTCTGCAACTACCTTTTCCAGCTCCTCCTGTAAAATTAGATCCCTTCAGGACATTGACATCCGCACAATACGACCAAGTTGCAAAAAGACTTGACGAATACTTGAAAACGTCATTTAACTCACCTTCTCTTTAGTCGCCACAAAGTGAAATCGAACGTTGCTGGCACACTCAGCGTGCAGCAATATGGAGTAGATAGCCTGCAGGAACGACAACACATACATGCTGCTGATCAACGATTGTTCATGACGTACATGATCTACACAAACTTGAGGTAGCCAGTTCGTGTACAGCCGCACTGTGAAAGAAACTAGTTCACAAAAATCTGTCCGCAAGATAAGGAGCAGAGACGAAGCATTGGAAAAGGAAAAAGTTAAAATGTTTACTACGAAGCTCTTAAACTGATGCCAAATAACGTCGAAAATGACAGCTGACAAACAGGTCGTATCATGAAAAAGATTGCTTACATACCGCCATAGAACCGCGCAAATAGTTGGCATCCAAGGTCATTGCTATATGTACTAAAGATTCATTGCAAAAGCTCCCTTGCGCTTCATGGCCGCAATTTGCATTACTGCATTGATATGCATCAGAACAAGTTCTCTTCGGGAGCGAAACCAATTTCCTAAATTCAAGCTTTATTTCATGCTGAATTGTTGTAGATGACTTAATCAAATGCTCCTTAATTTTAGGTTGCTTAAGCCTGTTGATGGTCTACATAAGATCATTAAAACAAGAGCAATCGCCGAGGATATCTAATGAATGATGCTCTGCTTCAATAGTTGAGACGGAAAGAACCGCAATGAACAAGAAAAGCATGATTGAGATCAGTAGAAGAGCCCCTTCTAAAAAAGACGCGATACCGCAAAAGATTTAGCACAATTTTAGTCTCATAGATGCTAGGGTTTGAAAAAGAAAAAACGGCTGCTGCCACCTACAGGTGATGGAAAACAATGCACTCGCATTGTTGGACATGACCTCAAAGCAACATAGACGATTCTTTTTTTCTACGTAGTAGAATTATTAGAACCAAAGTAATCAGAGGCCAAATGATCGCAGTGAAAAGCCCCTACCTTGGAAGCCAAGGAATGCCCTTGTTTGAATTAGAAATCAGATTTGGCAGAAGATCTGTTTTGAACCCGCTGGAGGACTGAGTAGCTTGCTGTGCTGACGGTTGCTGATGTTCCCCCCCTGGTTCAGTCTTCATTGGCTTGCCCAACGCGGATCCAAATGATGGAATTTTTACAGGTGTTGTTGAGGCTCTCTGTTTACTCCTAAACGAGTTGGGATTAAATCTTCTAAAACCGAAAAAATGTCCTAATTTTTCAGCAATTACGTTCAATGAAGAAGAGCCTCTGGTTTTTAAAGAAAATCCTATGTAGATTCTCTGATTTAGTGGAAGTTGAGGTTGTGCTTTTGAGGTCGTGTCACCTACGGTGAAATCTTGCACTGCTATTGATAACTGCACGACAGAATATCAGTGGTTAGCTCGAAGATAATATAAATGATTCTCTAAAAATACCTAGCTTGTCAACATGTGTTGACCAGGAACTTTTCTCAGCAGGACTTCAGGATTGTAGCAATCAGAGAGAAGACACGAAGATTCAAATTCAGAGAAGGCGTTTCATTAAGTACAACAGGCAACAGACAGATCCAAGCATTCCTTGATTCAGTACATACTCAAACTATGACGGAGTACAAATAAAATTACTTTGTAAAGGCTCTATGAGACGTAGAGAAACGACCAATGAACTGGATCTAAACTCATAAATGTCATTGATTAGGATTACATTTGAGAAATTGTACAGCCAGTAGGAAGGATGTGTTGCAATTCGTTACTTTCTACCTAATGACCTTTAGTAACGGGGCTACTATGGACAATTCATAAAACTTCCTGAAAAAAAATACTACAAGAATGGCATGAAGAAATTACGGGCTGTGGTATAGAAGGGTCCGAGCAAATCCTCCCTGTGCTATAGATGTGTCACTTGAGATAAAGTTAGATTCACCAACATCTAAAAAAATTAATAAGAATATTTTGTCAAGACTCGCTCTTGCTCAGTACTATCATAAGTCACTATCATTCATAAATATCGAAACACGTATTTCTATAAATCTACCTCATGTAGTTATCTGCTGTCAAGAATATTTGACGCAGAGTAGAGGGAAGTTATGCGCTAGTATCTCAACAGGAACGCATCTAACCGGCATAGACTAGGGGCCATATCCTCAGTGTCGCAAAACCTTGCAAGCTTCAAAATATATGAAGTGAAGTGTAGAAGCACCAGGGGAATCCCGTTTTCTATGTAACATTGCCCTCGAATACACAAGTAATCAGAAACGATTCAATTATAGTACTGTAGTAATCTAAGAAAACAAGTTTAGTTTATGTTAAAAGAATATCAAAAACTCTACCACCTAGCAGACAGACCGGACCATATACACCGTCCATCGCCAAAATTGGAAAACATGATCAATGTGCTGACCATCTGGATTCAATGTCAGCTGAGCTTTAAAAAAGGCGTCAGCGCAAGGTATTGCAGAGAGTAGGATGTACGAGGAAGGTCACAACAGGGATCATTAAATGAACGGATCGTAATCAAATGAGCAAGTTAAAATACAGCTAACAATACATTCCTCACAAAAAGAGAGGCAAGTGCTGATTTGAGATGTAGGGTCGACTGAAGAGGAAGCAATCGATGGACAAGATGCTGAACAAGGTCGTGGAAAATGATATTTCAGAGATAGCAGACTTGCCAGAAAAATCGAAAATATGATCGAGAATGAAAGCGCTGTTAGCCACAACTGCGTCGAGCGATCATGATGACAATCCGCCACTTCAGTAGTCGGAGGTTGCTTAACGAGCGTACACATTGAAGTGCGCAGCCCCAGCGTGTACCGATGAGAACCAGGAATGCAGGGCCAAAAAGAAACAATTGAGCCATTATTGAAGATCAGCCAAGGCGGCAGCAATCGCCACATTGCAGCACTTGGTGCTATTCCTATATCTACACTCTTCGACACGCCCTGGAAACCTTCATTCCGATATTATCGAGCCTGTCTTCGTGCTCAACCAGCAGTCATATCAGCCCTCTGATCAACACTACATGTCGCAAGAGTTTCGCGCTCGTCGTCTTCTCCCTCTCTTTCGCGCTATCTCTGAACACACTCTTTGCTTTCATGCCAGCGTTCGTCACCTCCAGCCAAAATCATTTGGCACTTCTCAAAATCTGCACGGCAGATGTAAGAATGTCATTTCTATCTTCATGATACATGAAGACACCTTAAAAACAGCCAAACTTTACGAAAGGAGCACTGAGAGAGTCCACGAACAGAAGCCGTGACTTCGCTGCGATAAGCACAGGTACGAGATCGATCTTCAGGCACAAGAGGGTTCAGAATGCAGGGTCCTTCAAATCGGTGGAGAAGCAACAGTAGCAGCAGCGCAATAACATCGACCGAGTAGCAGCCAATTGTTGCTTTTAATTAACCCTCCTTATAAACGAAAACGAATCGGCACACGGCTTCAGAAGACTAGCGTTGTTCGCCACTCGCATACACCACGCAATCGACCACACGCAAGACATATCGACACATATAACCCCTACAAATAGATTCCACGAGAAGCAAATTGTTGATCGGACAGGCTACCATGTCAAAAGCAGCAGTAGAAGCCAAACTCAATGAGCTCCATCTCCCCCCTCCCAAAAAATAACACTCATACCATTTCCTGAACGTCAACGCATACCCAAACGCGGCGATTAAACACGCAATTCGTCTCCCAAAAGTATGAGCATGCAATTTATAAATACATACCAACTCCCTAAAAACAGCCACACGAGCGTGTAAAAACAGCATACAGTAATCACCCATTCCGACCTTATTTCGCCGCGATCTCACAATGCAGCAGCTCCACTAAGTCCTTAACACCGAACCAAAGATCACAACATCCCGGCACTAAAATCATCTGTATTCAGACCCGCCAATAAGCAACTGCGTGTAAAAGCCGACGGGAAAACTTTGCAAAGAGAAAAATAGGAAAGACAGCTATCGAGCATACGCTTCTGACACGCACCATGAACAGTGCCACGAGACCTTGTGCATAGACGTGGAGAAGGCCCACAGTTGCGATGGCTGGCGGCTGGTGCGAGGAAGGGGAAGCCAAAGCCCGAATCCGTCGCAGGAATCCGTCGCAGGAATCCGTCGCTTGAGAGTTAGTTGTAAAGCACTCTGGAAGTCTGATTCCCGTTCTTCAGAATTGACGAAGACCTGCGCGGACTCCTTATTAAACCTTCGTGGTGATGCATGCCGTCTCTTTCGCCGGGCCACCGAGAACTGATTTCCGAGCTCACTTGCAGGTGCAATTCGTAAGCCCCGCAGACTACCCTCACTCAAGTTCCAGAACACTTCAACTTAACTTTACAAAACCTCGAATTAACAAAACCAGCGTCTAATTCGCACTGAAACAAGGGACGCTTCCTTTTCATCGACCTTCATCCGCAACAGTTCGCGAAATGTGAAATGTGAAATGTGAAGCTGATCTCAACACTACTGAACAGCAGTCCAACACACAACACTTGGTGTTCACTCCTACCGATTACCGGTACTCCTCCCTTTTCGTAGATCACAAAATTTCGACGGTTTCACTGTTTACGATCGACTGCGAGTCGTTAGGAAGCAGCGATATCCCGACTAAATTGCACACCATACATGACGTTGTATCGATTAGTCTCCAACTTTGAAATTGACACAGTGTCGCGTTGACAACCACGGCATTGATTCCCCTTTCCGACAATCGCGGAAAATTACTTTAATAATTTGACTTATTTTTAAATTACTTTTTTAACTTAAAAAATACATGACTATATAAGTATATGTACATACATACATACATATACATACATATATATATATATATATATATATATATGTGTGTGTATATATATAATAGAGTGATTTTGATATTTATATATATTTTGACATTTACATGGATTATATGTATATATAAACAAATACTTGTGATACAATATTGTAATACAATTTTATAATACAATTTTATACTAGAATAGTTATAAACAAGTACAAAAAAGTTAGAGTATAGTACAAGACAAGCAATTTGCTTAACTCAAACCAAGACTATAGTACAAGACAAGCAATAATAAGAGTAATAGTGGTTTTAATTTTGCCTCGATACATACTAATTATTTAAGATTTTTTTATATTCAAGAAAGAAGGTAAATAGCTACAACTTTTGAAGGATTATAATTTGTTGAAATTAAAAAGCCTTACTTAATTTATTCTATATTTAAATATACCAATTAAAGAAGATATATATAAAAATAGAGAGAGATACAGAATGCATCTTTTCTCCACATGGCATGAATATTGTTGTTGCTTAAAGTTTGCAATAGATGCATCTCAAGAGCTAGTTTATAAAAATAATTGAGAACTTATATTAATAATTGCTAAAAGTACACACATCAATTTTTGGATATCAAACATTAACTTAGTTTCAACACTTCAACTACTTTTAACACATACCAATAATAAATATAAACATTTTTTTTTTTTTTAACACAAAAAGATTATGTGTTAAAATTATATGATATACAATAAGATACTATGATCAAAATCCAATTAATTTAATAAAAACTATGGTCAATATATCAATTCCCCTAATAATATTATAGCATTATTTTAATCAGTTTCATTTTCCAAATATTTTGACTATTTTTTAAAAATCAAGTTAATTCTTTATAAAAAAATCAAATAGCTTATAAATTTAATTTAGTTTCTACTTTTTATATATTTTTTTATATTTTAATTTTTTATTCTATATATTTTGTACTATATTTTGTTAATATACATACTTTATTTATCAAACATCACTCTATTGATACAAAACATGGAAGGTACTTTTTTGATTTATTATTATTGTACTTGCTTTGTTTATATATATATATATAAATATATATTACCCGTATTTTAAATAGTATGCTTAAAACACGTTTAACTAAATATGATGTATTTACGTACTTGAAATACTTTGTCTCCATTTTAAACAGTCACTCAAATATAATGGGAGCGTTTCACAAACATAGATATATAAGTTGCTTGAACTTATTTTGAAGTGTGCTGACATGAGTAGAGTTTTAAAAGAATTTTCCTTTATATATTCTTTGATAATTTTCTATAATTAAATTGATGTATAAACTTCAAGTATGTAAGCTTTTTCTATTTATTGAACAAAAGGCAACATGTAAATAATTTTCATTTAAAGAATAAATAAATCCACCTCAATGTATGCAATCAGATTAATCCAAATTAGATCAAAGATACTGAGTAAAATTGTTTGTGAAAAATTAGAAAACATTTCAACCACCAAATGCTGTGAAGTAGAGTGTTTGAATCCAGAAATTTATTTGACAATAATTAATTTTTGTCATTTTATTTTTTTTAAAAGATTATCTTTGAATCAATAAAATTTTCATTCAAATAATCAAAATTAGAATTGGACACTGTTAAAATTTGAGACATTGGCAAACACCAAAATCCCACTCATGATTCATTATCTTTATCATCAAAATGGCAGAAGTACATGTCTTTGCATTATCTCAACAAGTAGATTTATTTCTTTACCAAAATTGTGCTTTGGAAAACCAACTCTTGAAACAACTCTATTGTAGTTAGCATTGCAGACAGTAGTAAGTGTTCAAATGGCAAAGCACAGTATTGTTAACTGAAATTGCAGCCAGTAAACTGAAGAGCTATTGTTTAGCGAGCCTTTAACCGTGTCCTGTGGTAACATCTGCTGCGTGCTAAGACTACACAATCTACGAAAACATACACAACACAACACTCACAACAGAATCTAGTCTTGTACACAAGAGAATTGTCACTCGTGAATTAACAAAAAGGTACCAGCTTCAATACTGTTAGAATGATGATTGCTGAATGCTAAACGTTTTGGACAGAAACTTCCTTTCCAGTGCATACTCAATAGGGTTCTGCACCAGGTTTCTGAAATTGCAAGTCAAGCAGCTACGCTTGAAACGAAACCAGGGGAGACAACAAAATGTTTGCACACTTATTATCATGTCATCCCTACATTAAAAAAGGGAAAAATATAAATAAAATGTAAAACCACAATTAAGGAAAAAAAAAACCAAAAACGTGCTATGGGCCCTTGAATCTCCCAAAACAGAGACACCCATGCGGCTGGGCGTCTGTTGGTATCATACCTCCACCTTTGGAGGTGTCTAGAGCCTCCAGCATCTGCACCACATCAGCCATGGCAGGCCGTTTCTCAGGATTTGCATCCCAACACTGCCTCATGATATCCGCGAGTCCCTGAGGGCAGCACTTGGGCACCTCGGGTCTCAAATTCTGATGCACAACTGCCGATGTCATGTCCGCAAAGGAGAGGTCCAAGTACGGCATGTCGCAGCAATAAACTTCCCACAAACAGATCCCGAAGCTGTACACATCGCACTTCTTGTTGTAGGGCTTGCCGTCGAGAATCTCCGGAGCCATGTATCCTGGGGTACCAGTATCACCAGTCATGTCCTTGGGATTGGATGCCTCCACTCGTGCAACTCCGAAATCTGCAATTTTGACCCTCATCTGTTTATCGAGCAACATGTTCTCTGTCTTCACATCACGATGAGCGATCTTCTGAGAATGGAGGTATGCAAGCCCTCTAGAAACATCCAAGGCTAATTGCACGACCACCTTGTACGAGAGTTTTTTCCGCCGGCTGCGAATGAGATGATCTTTAAGAGTCCCGCCTGCAAGGTACTCAACGACAACACAACAAGCATTGTTCGGCACATGATGGAATCCATCATCACCATCCACGGCTGAGGGAATCCGCAAATCTGAGTTCCCCATCGAGGCTCCGATGAACTTCGTGACATTAGGGTGGTCGAGTTTATGCCACACAGCAACCTCTTGTCTGAATTGGTTTCTGTAGTATTGAACCTCTGTTTTCTTCATGGTATTCTCCTCGCCCCACTCAAGTAGCTTAACTGCGACATCCTGACCTTTGTACACTCCTTTGTGGACAGTCCCAAAGGTGCCACGCGCAATCATATGCTTCAAAGTGATCTCTCGAGGATTTATTTCCCATTCTTCTGGAGGAGCAGGAGGCTCTGCACTAGCTGTTTCTATGGAATTAGGTAGCTTATTATGAACTCTGTTTAGAGCAGTATCTAAGTCCGCAAGGTTGACAAGATCTGCACGCACCATGCTATTCTTCTTGTGAAGTACTGCTGAATTCCCGGGATTCTTTGCCACTTTCACATTGCCTTCAGTTCTCTCGTTCGTTTCTGGTTTCTCCACGACAGGACTGTTCTCTGATGTTCCCTCCATTGAAATTAAAATAAAGCTTACAGCAGGAGCTAAATTTTCAGAACCACCTGTGAGCTCTATCGACAGGCAAAATCTGTAGTCACGGAATTAATTAGGATCACCCTATTCAAGCTATTGCCACAGGTGCGCGTCGCATTTACACAGCCCTGAGGGTGGAGGTCCCTTGCATCAATAAGAGACATGAAATACGAAAAATTGAAGTTGATTCGGGTTGGAATACCATTGGCCTTTAGACACATCAACTAAGACCAAGTACCCTCACTAGGCCACGCGTGTAATCTGTCACCCCTAATCCCCAGAGAGACGAAGTAGGGGAAGACAACCTGCACCAATCCAGTCGATACGAGATACTATCCTTCGATACAGTAGAGGAGACGGAGAAGACGGAGAAGACGAAACATGTGCCCTAAAAACTTGAGATCTTCTTGAAAAGAGACGCAGGGTTCACGCTGACGACCGATCTGGCACAAACATTGCATTCACGAAACTTCCTGCATCACAGAATGAGCAATCGTCCATTAAAATTATAAGACTATCGTAACGTTACGTGTAATAAACAGATTCCACGAACCTGACCTACTCCGAACAAATAAACATACCCTCAAACTACCACAAGAAAAGCCCGTAAACCGCATACATATAAAATGCGTTAGGTAACCCCACCACTCCCTCCCAATTTGCGACACCTTTCCGATAAAAATCGGCACACATCAAAACTATCTCTAGTCAACTTTCACAAAACCCACTGCAGAGCATGGGGTAGGTCATCCTACACACTCAGTTCGTTCCAAATCACCCATCCATATCACAATAAGGCCTAACCCCAAAAACCTCAAAACCAACGTCAACCTCTCTTCAAACCTAGCTCAATTCCTGGCGCAAATCCTCAGACCATGTGTGACCCACCATCTACATCAACATGACGTCTCAACAAGTAGCAGTTTCAATGCAAGTCCGACAATCGCAAAACTGTGCAAACCTATCCACTCACTCGTATTCATTATGCTATCGAATCAAGCAATGAATACGTCGACAACCCACGACTTGAATAACCAGGACCGTCTGCCTTGTGCCTGCTTTTCACCAGTGGTGCCCAAGTAAACGCTGTGTAAGTGGCTGTATATAATTTATGCAACTCTTCACATTCTTGAAGGTTTGTCAGTCCACAATCTAACGATGGAGTTACTCAAGAAAACGCACTTCGATTGATTGTGATGCAAAAGGACAGGAGCATCTCACGAGGTCAACCACAATCGGTTTCCAACATCCACATCATGCATGAGTGATTCATCTGGGTGGGAAGAGACAAACGACGAAGGGCACAAACCTTGGTAGCGCGTTCAAGGAGAAAACCCCTCTGACAGGGAATCCCACCGGAAAACCACCAGGTGCCCGTAGCCCCGCACAACACAGACAATGCAAGCTTCTACATGTGTCGGGAGAAATTATTCGTGATATTCTACCCATTACTTAATCACTTCACATCCACAAGTTTTGTGTTTAGCTGGAGTAAGGAGAAGCATACACAAGCACTGACACTGTTCACATCCATATCATTCACAGAGCAGAAGTTACTTAGACGAAATTTAATTGTGCTCAAAATTAATATCTAATCTTCAGGCTTTCCAAAGCAATGCCAGTGAGGTAATTTGTCCTACCAGACAGTTTGGATAGTATTTGGGAGTAGACCTGATCACTATGAAAATGAGTTGCTCTCGACAAACTGTGAGGAAAGTATATTGTCTCTGAATCAACTCAGATACCGTTCTTCAGAGTGTAAATGGGTTCTGCTGAAAAAAATCTGATCCAGGATTTACGTACACAGCCGAGGAGATGCGAAGCATGGCACAACCAATTTCTTAAGACCCCTACAACTTGCGAGCCTTCCTTTCTAATTGCCAGTTCCTGCGGACACTCCTGTCCAACGCAGGACTCAATCATGTATAAGAGAATGAATGTTGATTTTAGATCGTGCAAACTGAGGATACACAATTCAACTCAGATTTCGAAATCCAAACTCTAACATCGAACACACAAGTATCAAACTAAAAGCCATGCATAGCATTGAGTAGTGAAGTGAATGATCACAAGTACAAATAAGTACACTTTGCTGAGTGTCCATTGCAAAAACCAGTAAGAATGGATAGGTCCAACGCCAGACTTTCCCGTCGACTTGAACCAAAAGGAATCCATTGGGGTTTTGACGCATTGGTCAACAACAATGATGCGAGTGAAATTGGTGATTCTCCGACAAAGTTTATTGCGGACATTCGAATTACGCAGTGATCAGAGTTACAGTTTCCAACTTTTAACTTCAAACCCAAAACCCTGCCGAGCTGATGCTACAAAGGAGCCCCACAAACCACAGAATGGAGAAGAGTAAAAGACACACTCAGTAAGAGTCTCTATTCAGTAATAGCACCAGGCGCACCACCTCCAAAGCTACCACCTCCTCGGCCAAAACCACCACCACGTCCACCACGGAATTCGGGGCGGTATTCTCCAGGAGCTCCACCTTTCTCTCCATCAAAAGCACCTCCACGGCCGCCGCTGCTGCGGTAACCTTCCCTGTCACCACCAAATCGTGGCCTCTCCCCTTCTCTTGGGGGACCGCGGGGAGGTCTGTCACCTCCAGCACCTCCCATTGGCCTGCTTGGAGGGCGCGCGGACTTCTTCAGAGTGGCAGGGACGATCTCAGATGGAAGGTTGAGGTAGGTCCTTAGGTGCTCAATGCCATCATTGGTCAAATACCTGTAATGTAAGCGACATGTGATGAAGTCAGTAAACCGCTTACTTCAACATTCTTATGTAATTTGAATTATCAGCAGAAAAAAAGGGTATGAGCCACTTCGGTGGAACACGAAAAATATCTAGTGGTTGACGATGCAACTGCTAACAAAGACATCGCTCAAGGGGTAGGATTTTCAAACTCAATTCCACGATATTGAAACGATTTCCTGATCTATGCAAACAAAAATTTAACGACCCTAATCGCTTACAACGCAGACTCCTAGGACACAATCAGAAAATATAAGTGGCAAACTTGACTGCAAATGCACTGATGTCGTACAGATGAATAATGCGCCTGATAAGAATAATTCCCACATACTACAACGACAGGGAGATTCTGAGAAAAGTTGTGGTCAGGGTAAAATGGAGTTAAGGAGATGATGCAAGTGACGTTATCCAGAGAATGTAAGCAAAATTAATGTTTTCCGATGAAAATCACTCGAAGAAAACATTCTACCGTTAAAAATTATTTTGATAGTTTCACTCGCACTGCAAAATGAATGCAGTATCAGTTTCAAGAGGCTCCGAAACACCTAAACCACGCAAGTGTCGCGATATTGATGCCAGTTTGACGATCCAAAATGCAAAGGACCAACAAGTTCATCAACCTCGTAGCAATTCGGTGTTGGAATGCAGATGTACACTCCTGAACAATATAGAATACGGTTTTGAAATAGACAATTTTCATTACTTAGTATTTAGCTGAAGTAACTACATTTTATCAGTGCCAACCAGGAGGTCCAAACTCCAAACCCTGATACAGGTAGAATAGGTACCCTAAAAAAGCTCTCACAAAAAACACAACCAAACGGTATCTACATCGATGGCACAGAGCAACTCACCAGTAATAGTGCCTCCACGCGAAGTTCTCCTTCACGTACTCCTTGGACTTGAAGCTCTGCATGAGCTTGATGACCTGCAGATTGGGCACATCAATCTCGGGGTGCTTGGGGGCATTGTAATCCTTCTTGGCATACAACACGCCCTCCTTGAAGAGGTACTTGTACACCTCCACTCGGTTCTTCTTGGGGATCAGCATATTGCTTAGCCGCCGTCACCACTCTAGGCGATGACTCCACGAATGCAAAGCGATGGAGCGAGCGTGCTGAGCGTTTCTCACACTTTGCTAAAGGGAAGCATTCTTCGACAAGCGTGACACAAAAGGGAGAATCCCTCCCACGCAATTAGGGTTAGGTTACGTTCTCAACACACGTTCCCTGCTTCAAAAAGAGAGCGGGAACGAAATACTCATTCATCGATTATGGATGACATTGTATCCATCCAAGGCATTCGCAACCACGGTAAAAGGGTAAGAACGTTGTACACGTAGATATTTGAAGAGACGATTCCAGGATCCTTTACCGCGCTCTCTGTCTCTCTCGCGCTTTTTTTCTTCAGTCACGTATAATTGGTTGTTAGAGTTTGATTGCGTTGTAGCGTTTATTTTCCTTTGCATGCAGCTTTTATCTAGTGATGTGATCAATTTCTCCTCAGCAAGTTGATCACCTACGACGTGGACTATGTTTGAGGTCACCCTTGGACTCAATTTCATCTCGCCGCTAGTAGACGGATGGTCGCACACCAGTACTGTGTATAATCGAAAATTTTCGAGACTAGGTTTTCGCTACACCGATTTGGGATCAATGACATGTTCAGATTGCGGTCTATTTTGCAACACGGCGTGGCAAAGGGGACCGTATTGACACGTGTGATTCATATTTTTCTTTTTGCGTTTCCTGCTCATATAAGGCGTCTTTGAAATGAAATATTCACTGCTGCCAACAATTGTCAAATGCTCTTGGGCACCTTCAGTTTGTTGTTTGAGAATCGAGTTAAGTCAAGAACAATTATGAAGTAGTCGTTACCTCGAAGCAAAAGTTGATATGTATTCGATGTCGTTTTTTCTTAAACACAAAGCACCTGACAGTGCTTTCATGCGGTTGAAGAGCTTGTTTCAGCATATTCAGACTGCCATCATGTAACTTCACGCTGGAAAGAATTGTTGTGAGAATATAATGCAGAGGTTAAGTTGTCATTTTCCGGATTAATCCAACCAGGTCCTCTCTAGTTTGACGACCAGAGCCGTTACAGAGAGCCTGGGCCGAAGGTAGATGGATATCAACAATCAGATGGGGAAAATTGCTGGCAACCTGCCACGATGAACTGAAGAATTCGCAGTGCTGTTGACTTAACTGAACGCTGTTCAAGGAACATTAATACTGCTAATAGATTGGGTTCTTACCGAGGCTTGTTCGTGAGGAAGGTTTGAGTCCCTGCTCGTGAAAGAAATGGAACAAGGAGTTCAGATTGCGTTACTTGTTAAAACCTTCCCCTTGTTGGATTCCTCTCTATATTCATCGTTTTTCATTATTTTTTCTTCCCGGTCTTACGAGTCTACTTTCAAATATGCGCGTGCACTAGTTAAGATAATACCTGTTGGATTTCCCATGATTCCAGAACTTTACTAACGGTGAGGCAGCAAAGAACATTGCTCTAAAAAAAGTTCGACCATCTTCTTTTGTGAAAGGTCACTCGGTTTCAGATGCTACTATTGATATATCATGCCTAACACGCACAGAAGCAGGTGTGAGGGTCGAAAGTCGGCTCTGACCCTGCTTTGTGAGCTTTGGGGAAAAATGACAAGCATGTGAGTCAAGGCAATCCCCATGTCCATGAGAGCGCCAAGGCATGGTGGCAATTGAGAGGTAGGGAGGGCCACCATCCGCCCCAAGGTTCTAGTGGTGCGGGGTACGACTTAGGGTGGATTATGTGGTTGAAGTTGGTTGGTCCAGGGTGCTTCTCAACACCCCTAGTCTAACCAACAGCATTAGTAGCCGGAAAGCAAAGCGTTGCTTGTTGGGGGCTAAAGCAAGAGGCACAAGGCAACATGAATTAAGCGGTCAAGGTATCGAGCTTTATCCGAGATAGCCTGGGTGGAGATTGATACCTCAAATGTAGCATTTAAGTGTCATACTACAGCATAAGATCATATTGCAAATTTGGATTGTGGTGCAATTTAGAATGCCATCTAGACTAAGTGAGTCTTGGATGCTTGAGTTTTGAGAAGGGATCTATAAGAGGGGGTTTTAAGTTAAGATAATGACCTTATGTTTTTCAAGTGAAAGATTGATTTGAAAGTGAAGGCCATTACATAAAGTATTAGTGCTTTTGAATTTGAAATTGGGAGTGAAGATTTAGTAAGAATCCAAGAATTTTGATGAAGGCAAAAATAGCATAATCAAGATATTGAGAAAGACCATAAGAACTAGCTTCCAACAAATTGAAGAAGAGGTCCTTGATGCAAAAAGTGCACAAGAAGTGTAATTGAGTCAAGAGGTTCTAAGACCAAGAAAAAAATTAACTAAGAAGAAAGTTGTAAATGAAGAGCTTCTAATTCATCTTGAAGTTGATGAAGAAGAGAAAAATGTGGGAGATCAAAAGAAGCAAGTTGAAAGTTTTCAAGAAGTTTATGATTGTACAATTGAAGACAAAGAATACAAAAGAAAGAGGAGAAAGCCAAAGTCACAAAAGATGACCAACTTTAAAGATTCAAAGGATTCTATGCAAAATTTATGGATTGATAAATAAATTATTCATCTTAATGAAGTAAAAAAGATTGTCACAAAAATGATCGAAGAAAGAAATAAAGATTTTGAAAAAAAGATGCAAAAATTCAAACTTTTTATAGACTCTTTGATGAAAAAAAATGTAAGAAAAGAGACATTACTTAAAAGCCAAAAAGACAAGTCAAATTCTTATAGAACCAAAACTTATCAACCAAAAAAATGAAAGGCACAAAGCACAAGAGAACCACAAGGAGATTTCTCAAAGATGTTGAACATTAGCATTTGATCAATAACATTAAAAGTGATGTAGAAAAAATTAAAATTTAATTTAAAGTACTTTGAATTAAATTGATGGTGAAATCAAAACCAATTGTAATTATGTCAAATATAAAACTTAGAGTGATGTGTATAAAAGATTAATTATGAGATTTAAAAGCAAGTGCCAAAATTTCATAAAAGACTTGCAATTATTAAAGTTGAGACAAGAAGGGAGAAAGGATTCTTTTTTAAAATATATTGGCAATTATCAAAACTAATTTACTTATATCCAACTTGATTATGAAAAAAGCCTACTAATTTTAATTTATAATGAATTAAGTGTGATAACTAGAAAAAGGTGTTAACAAAGAAATAACATTCCTACTAATATCAATGATGCATTTGATTTGGCATTACAATTAAAATTAGAAGAATAATATTTGAAACATAGTGAATAAAATATTATAACCAAAACTTAGGAAGGAAAGAGCAACTCTTAAGATGAAGTAAAGTTATTTTGTAGCAATAAAAAAACCTCTATTTTTCAAAGAGAGGTTTGAAAAAAATGCTTCACAATCTCTCAAATCTAAAATCAAAAAGAATTAAGGTAGCAACAACAAAAAGTTCAAGACATGTGCAAGGAATGTAACTTGCTTCAAATGTCAACAAAAGAGTACTATTATAATGAATACAAGAATAACGAAATGCAAAGAAAGATAAGTAAAATTTCTAATACTTCTTCTATATTTGAAAGTCATGATAAAAGAAAAGTAAACAAAGACACTTTTAAAGTTATAAATTTGAGCAAAAGAAACTTGGAAAGAAAAGAAAGATTTGAAGAAAAGATTAATTTGAAAACTCTTTATTATAAAATTTAAAAAATAAAATAATTTAATTTAATTTGATTATGTTCTAATATTGCTAATAAAAAAGTTTCTATGTTGATTGATATAAGGAAAATCAATTTTTTCATATCTAAATTATACCAAAAGATCAGACTTGGCTCACAAATAAACCAAAAAAGTAAAGGCTTTTCTTGCACAAGATGGAAAAGTGATCAACTTGATGGTAAAGGATGTGAAATTGTTACTTAAGCTTTCATGGTAATAAGCAAGCATAAGAAAAAACTCTATAAAGTGCCACATTATATAGTTTATATCACAGCATTTATTGGACTAACTCTTTGAGTTGCATTCTCAAGTCTTTAATTGTAGACTTGGCTTCTTCCTTTGCCGCTTGTAATTCTTTTACTTGTACTTACAAAGTGTTCTTCATGGCTACCAACTTATTCTTCTTTTGTCGCATTGCTTGAAACTTGTCTTGTAATACTTGCATATATCATTTTATAGTTGTATGTTTATAAGAGAGTGCTATGATATTCTTTTGATTTTGCTCTATTATTCGATCTTGTTCTTTGAGCTATATTCAGATGTTTTTAATCTCATAATGTATGTTCTTTAAATCTTCCATATTCACAAAAGTAGAGGGAGCATTTTACATGTCATGTAGCTACTATTACGTTTCAATGAGTTGGACTTGTAAGGTGGTGCTTAGTTCCAAGTATTCTTAAATAATCAGATAAATAATGTCTCAAATACTTTATAGTTGTGTGCTTTGACCTGTGTCCAACAAAACTAGCTTTTGGATGATACGTCATAAGGCTTTGTGTTGTAAATAGGTAGTTTAGAGTATTGATTCCATGTTTGTTTTTTTCTTTATTTTTAATTTTTTTTCTCTCTCTCTTTCTTCTTCCTTGTCTCCTCAAGACTATGTTGAGGCGTCATTATTTTAATTGAAATAGTATTGATATCAATATCTACATTCGTTTTTATTCATTCATATTTGTGGTTGTATTCTTTGTGATGTCACTTTTGTTGGGCGTCATCCTTAAGATAGTCCTTGATTTTTTTTTATTATCTGCCAAGAAAGAGGACAATAATATTTTAAGACATAGCACTTCTATTTGCATATGTAACTTGTAAGGAGAGTCTGCATGTTACGACATCAATAAAAGTCTTGTTTCATGTAATGCAACTGTCATATGAATTTTTCATAGATGATCTAACTCCATTTAATCTCCTCAACTGCCTCAATAAATAAATATATATCTATCATGACTTTAGATATGAAATTTAATTGTTTGCAAAAAAAATACATAAGTAATGATCTTATAAATATGCGTGTATTTATCTAGGTATCAAAGATATAAATCTTGAAGAAAGAAAATCCTCAATACACTCTTAAGTCACTGAAAGGAACTAAAAAGTCACTCAAAAATGATATAATATTGAACTAGAATGGCTATTATCAAAAAAAAAAAAACTAGA